GCCGGGCCATCAGTATCTTACGAAGATTTTCACCTCCATGCCGTAAGCAAAAAAAAAAAAACACACACACACACACACACACACACACACACATACATACATACATACATACATACATACATACATACATACACACACACATAACCACACACACACATTTAAATAATACTTTAATCCCTTCGTATAAAATAATTGTAAATATGGTATATGTGATTCAAACTGTGAATATTGAATATCTGCTTTTGAATCCTATTATTTGCAAACTTTACAAAATGTAATAATTATGCAACAATAAAATTTTGTTTTTTTTCTTTGTTTTTAACAATTAGGTGGAGTTGCAGCAGCTGCGCACCGCATACAATCGACTCGTGAATCAAATGAATAGCATATTTAGCCAAAAGCTTTGGTTTATAATGCTGGAGCAGTTTTTCATGAAATACGTATGGTCCGGCACTGGAATGGTAATGGTTTCCCTGCCAATATTAACAGGTGCGGCTGCATCAAAAAACTCAAATAATACTCCCATAACCGCCGAGGTCAACGACTCGAGTGTGAGCGAACGTACCCAATATTTGACGACGGCCAGAAATCTGCTCATATCGGCAGCGGATGCTATCGAGCGTCTGATGTCCTCCTACAAGGAGGTTGTGGCATTGGCCGGATACACTTACCGGGTGGCTGGAATGTTGGATGTTTTCGAGGAGACCGCACAGGGAATTTACAGCAAGGCCACCCTGGTCGAGAATGAGGAAATGAACGGCATCATTGAGTTCCGCGATGGCAAGCCGATAGCCAAGGGTCGCATTATTTACACGGATGATCCCGGCAATATGTCGATCAGTCTCCGGTCTGTACCGGTCGTTACCCCCAACTGTGATATTGTTGTGCCAAGTTTGACTCTCTGCATTGAGCCCGGAGTGCATCTATTGATAACGGGCCCCAATGGCTGTGGCAAATCCAGCCTGTTCCGCATTCTAAGCGGACTCTGGCCAATCTATGCCGGAGAGCTGCATATACCGCGTCCTGTCGAAAACAAGCCCTGCATGTTTTACATCCCCCAGCGACCTTATATGTCCATTGGCAGCTTATGTGATCAAATCATATATCCGGATACGCGGGAGGACATGAAACGTAAAGGCATCACCGAAAATGAACTAATGAACATTCTAAAATTGGTCACGCTTGAGCATATTGCGCAACGGTAAGTAAATATTAATGAAATAAAATAAAATAAAAAATATTAAAAACTATTAATAAAATATGTATGCTTACAGTGACAGCTTTGATGTTGTGCGCGATTGGAAGGACATTCTCTCCGGAGGAGAAAAACAACGAATGGCCGTGGCTCGTCTATTTTATCACAAGTTAGTATAAAATGGATTTCTGTATTGATATTGTGATTATTACTTAACCCGTCTTTTTTAAAGGCCGCGTTATGCACTTCTCGACGAGTGTACGAGTGCAGTGTCCATTGACGTTGAGAGCTCGATTTATGACATTGCCAAGAAGATGGGCATCACGCTTCTGACAATAACACATAGACCAACCCTGTGGTAAGATATATAAAATAAAATAGTAAACACATAATTATATATACGTATTAAGTACTTATTTGATGTATTTTGTGATGTATTTAATAGGAAGTTCCACACGCATATTCTTGAGTTTGACGGTCAAGGAAGCTGGAAGTTCAGGAAAATGGATCCCAATGAGAAGCAAAAGGAGAAGTTCATTCACTAATATCCGAATTACATATGGAAAAAACGCTCAAGTGAATAAAGACTATAGAGAGTGTCAGAAGAAGTATAGCGTTACGGTTTAGAAAACAATCGAAAAATCGAATGTTTAGAAATGTACAGGGTGTCTTCCTGTCGGACACTTGTTTTATTATGGTCATTTAGCATAGAAGTTCAGGAAAAATATATCCTAATAAGAAAAATCTTTCATTCGCCAATATCCTTGTTAAGTATTAATAACCCTAGAATGAATAAAGGCTATACATATACGGAATTCGATTTCGACAATCGATTTCAATTTATCGTTGAACTATTTTCGGACATAGGTATACAGAGATATGTACATATTGCGTGAATTATTTAAAGAATGTGTATATGGTGGTATGTGTAGTCGGTAAATATAACTTTAATTCCAATTTATAATTATTTAGATTTATATTGTTAAAGATAAGATTTGTCCAGCCCAGAGAAATAAATTAATTATTCGATTTTCATACAAAATAAGCATTAACTATTCTTACTGTACGCTATACGCTGTGTTGTCTTTATACCCTGAACCTATTAAAAATGGGTAAAAAGGGTATATTGTATTTTTGCAAAATGTAAATGTATGTAACAGCCAGAAGGAAGCATCTCCGACCCCATAAAGTATATATATTTTTGATCAGCATCAATAGCCGAGTCGATCTAGCCATGTCCGTCTGTCTGTCCTTCCGTCCGTCCGTCTGTCCGTATGTATGAACGCAAGGATATCAGAACCTATAAGAGCTAGAGACTTGAAATTTTAGATGTTGGTCTTCCTAGTGCCTGCGCAGATCGATAATCGATAACTTGCCCCGTTTCCAAGTAATCGATCAAATTCGATATCGACATCCTGTTTTTTGAGAATTTTTGGTAAATAATAAGAGCTAGAGTCACCAAACTGGACATGTAGCTTCTAGAATAGTATTTATATTTGCATTTAGTTTTCGAAGAAGAGGGTTTAGAGTATCCCTTAGTCGCGAGCTCCCGACTAGGACCTCTTACTTGCTTTTATCTAAATACCTGCAATATTACTGTAGTTACAAGTCAATGACATCATTACAGAATGTTCCATTTCAGTCGCCGTCCATCATAACTCTCATGAAGCTGTATGGGGAAAGTGAAGAAGAGTGGTTTGCAGTTAAAAAAAAACGTTATTTTCATCCGAATTTTATATTTGTTAGATTCGTTTACAATATACAATAAGATTCACAATAACTTCTTAGTTAATAACTTTAAATATTTATTAGGTTCTTGCTTTCGGCATTATTCAAAAACATCAACCATGCGTAGACAATTTTATTTTTAATTCAATACTTTGTATTTTTATGTTAATATGTATATCATACATCCAAGTTAATATGTATATTATATAGATTATATGTATGTATATACATATGTAACAAAAATGTCTTGTTATTGTCCGGAACTCACAACTACAGATTTATTGTCAATTTTTTATGCATCAACACATTTGCATACTGTATTTTTTTGTATGTATGCTTGTGTGTGTGTTTGTGTGTGAGTGAGTGTGTATGGGTAAATTGCCCTTATTCAATACTTGTACACAATAGTATCTATACAATAGAGTACATAACGGTTAATAAAATCAGGCATACTTGCAATAATTGTGTATATAAGTATATAGGTATTTTAAAGTTTCTTGATATTAAATACTCGCTTTATTAAATATTACACATTGTTGAGCCAAGAAATGGTACATAGTTGATTAGTACACAATCATTAGTCTCTTATTAATATAGGTAGCACAAGTACTTTGGATAAGTTCGATATGTTAAATTGACATTTACTTTATATAATAAGTGACATTTCCTGAATTGATATTTATACAAAAGGCTGACCAAATTTAGTGTGCAACGAGTAGCAAAAACCATAAACTAGGCAAAATTAAACCATTACATAATGCAAATTAAATGTTTCTTTTATTTATATTTTTTGGTTTTTTTTTAATGATCATTTTGATTGTTTTAAGTTAAGTAGTTAACGTGTTTTTAGTTCAGGCACAGTTAGATCATACACATATGTATGTAGGTATTACCATACCAGGTGTCTGTATAAGAAACAACTAGCTAATACATTGATCGCATTATATGTAAATAATAAAAACAATATATTTTTGCTGAAATTTTTATAGGGATACTCTTTTTGAGCCGCCTATTGCCATATTTATTTATGTACTAGGCTTTTTAAAAACCAGTTATCGTCAATTGTTCGTACCTTGTTTTAAATCTGTCTAGGGATACGAAATTTGCTTTGGCATTTATTTTGTGTATACTGATGATTGTTTTTATATTGGAAGCATTTGATTATTTTTAAATAGGAAATTAAAATAAATATGAATATACATTCACGTCGAATATTTAATTGTAAGATATTGGTGTAATTCTTGGCAAGGTTTTTGGTAGTAGTTATTTTTTTTTTTTTGAGTATGGAAATTTAAAATAGAAATTTGACCAAGCAATATGTGATATCAAATGATTTTTTACATTTTACATTAGACACGTATGGTTATTGCGAAAATAATTTGTCGGGATTAACAAAGATTGTGAGGATTTTCAAGATTGTTATATTTGGGTAACAGGCTCTTTTGTGTATAGAAAAATACATACATTTGATATTGATATTTATATTTATAGAATATACCAAATGATAATAGTTCTATAACTGTATATATATATATATATATATATATTATATATATATCCGTTGTAGATAGTGGGCTAGTTTTGCTGTTGTTAAATATGTCATGTTGTTGGTAAGCACACTTCATGTTATTTGAATATTATGTACTGCTATAAAGTAACGGGTGAGTGTTAATGTGAATGCAAAACAAATACATTCTTTTCTTTTCTGATTCTTCTTTATAAATGTCTACTTGAATTGATTTCGATTCCATGTCTTCGCGTAATTTTAACATATTTTCGGTTATATATTTCTTTTGGGTATGTATGTATGTACATACTTATATATGTAATGTAGGTACATTATATACCGGGCGTACCAATTTTGTTTACTTCTTAAATATATATATATTTAAATTGACAACCGTTTCTCCTGTTATAAGTATGTTCATGCTAATTAATATGTATTCTGTATTTACACGTTTAAATTTAAACTACATACACCTCATAATCTATCAACTATAGCCACAAAGCAGGAAAAATAATTACATATACAAAAAAATAGAATTGTATAAAGTTCACATACGATTGTATATATATAGCTATTGCACCACAGTCGGTGAGTTTTTTTTTATTGTCCATGTTCTTGAGAAAAAAAAACAAATACTTTAATATCCGTTATTGTTGTAGAAATCATACTCATATTGTTTAGTTTTTTCTATTTGAGGCGAAAAAGCAGTTAACCTAGCCTCATCTACCGGATCATTACCAAAATAAATTAGACCATTGATACCTGGTTTCGGGCCATATTCGATGGATGTGTAGGGACTCACATAGTTGTCATTGAAATCTCCTCTCACTTCCGAAAGCTCTGTCTGAGGCCCAAACTGCAAACTCTTTAAAATTCTTGAGTTCCTTTCGAAGTATTCATTTGGCGGATACTGAAAAAGAGTGAAATATACAGTTTTGAATGTATGCAAAATATCCGACTATGCACAGCTTAGCCTTTTTAAAGTAAAAGTGATCTAGTCGAGAGAGCCGACTAGGTGATCATTATACGCTTTTTTTGTAACCCTTTTTTTAAGGGTTCAGGGTACAAAAATGCAATCTCCTAGCTATTAGGGTTGTATGTTAAGAGTATTACCTGTTTTAAAAGTGATCGATTCCTTTCCCTAAAATGGGATTGGCGTATAGGGTATGCCCGTGGTATGCCAATAACGGATTGATCTTTGTCTACTAAGTCAGCCGGATTCATTTCGGTCAGTGGAATCCTCAGGCGAGAAACTGTTTTCGGTTGACCGGCAGGAGAGTTGCCTGAAAAATAGGAGTCCTTACGCGCTGGACCATTGCCATTAGTAGCCGTTCCATAAGCACTTCCTATGCGGCGTGTGGAGGCTCGAGCTCCGCCGTTTCTGTGGCCCCCATTTTTATTGTTGGGATCAAAATTTTGTATATTCGCAATGGACATTCGATCACCGCTTAAATATTGATTGCCGGTACTATCGGGGCTTCGATTCTCATCCATCAGAATCGAATCTCCAGGATTATTGAAGGGAAACTTGTAAGACGACTGTATGCTGAGAAGAAGGAGAAGAAGATTTAGGGGTAAAAGAAGGTACCTTATAATCGTATAAAATAATACCTTTGCCCATTTGCGATTTCCTTGAGCACAGCCGTCCGAGCTGCCAACTCTTCGGCTCTACGTTGTTGGGTTAACTCCTTGGCCCGCTCTGTCCAGATAAGTTCCTTCAGTTTTTGAAAGCTGCCCTGTACGGCCACCGAATTTTGGCTGCCGGAGCTATTTGGTACGCCTACATGTCGATTCTTGCTGGACCTGCGCGGTGATGATGATGATGCCGGTGATCCAGCATTTATTGGCCGTACCTCGGCACCATATAGTCTGGCCTGACTAGCACCAGGTTGGCTGCCATCCAGATGGCGATGGCGTTGCTCAAAGGGTACACGCTGTGGAATAATTGGCTCACGGCTGACAACACGGCCAAAAACCGGAGATCGAGCACGTTCTCTTGCGCCCATTCGCAGCCTACGTTTGAGATAAAATAATTATAATTTCTACCATGCTTATGCCCATATTCTGGTGAACTTACGAGCCGAGCAAGCGAGAGTTGGAGTAAAGTGGTTCCCAGACATTATATGTGAAAGGGTCACGGTATGTTGGTATCTCGTTTGTTATTTCTGCTGCACGAGATTGTCTCTTGGAAAATCTATGTTATGTAAGTTCTCTACGTAAGTAATATATTTGTGGATTGTTGGCCATTTCAATACTTACATCCACATAGCGCGTAGTTGCTCACATGACGGCTCCTGCGAACTCATTGGAAACGTTTTCGGAACAAAAACTTCACCAACAGCCCTTACCCCGCCATCTTCTACTAACCCGGCATTAACATTTGGTGTTCCATCTTCGCTCTTCACTAATTTATTGCTATCTGCAGTTCTTTGCATCCCATAGTCACGGCTACGTGCATTTATAAAATTTCCATTTCCACGGGTCAGGTAAATTAAGATTATCAATATGTATATGTGAATGTATTTGTTCTGAAAAGATTTTAACATTGCTAAGTTTTTATATCTATTACAACTTTTATGTCGGATTATTTATTTAAAATAAATTAAGGACTTGCGTATCTAGAATCGATAGCCAATTCTCCTAATAAAAGATCCGGCAAGATATCAAGATTCGAACAGTTAGCAGTCTTCCAGTTAGAAGTTCCCCATACTATGGAAATTGCATTCTTGAATAGCTGAAGTTCTTATAGTCTAACCCCTTATGGAAATTTCAAGGGTAATATAGCACAACTTTGTGTCTATACGGACTTTAGTATATCGTTCTTATAATTTTCGAGTCAATATTTCTGAGATCAACCGAAGGATGGACGAACAGACAGCTGGGCGGGCGGCGTAAACACGGCATATAAGCTCGTCAGCCCATTAAAAAATAAATATAGTTAATGGGGTTATTGACGATTAACACTTTCATAAAACTATTTAACGATAAAATGCCTTTGAAACAGCCAGCCTAATCACACACATTTATCAGCTGTAGGAACAAATCGAACTTAATTTAAGATATACTTACCATACTATAATAACAATGCATCTTCAAGAATTATCTAGTTAAAATCCAGCAATGCGTATTGCTCATAAAACAACCAACAATTAATGCTGCTGCTTCAAAAAGATATGTTTTCAAATATGTCGAATTTTCCTGCCGTTTGAAAATACATAAGAAAATAAGTTAACATTCTTTTAAGCAGCATGTTTATATATAGTACACTCTACCAGAACATGCAAAATAAAAAAATCATAAAACAACATTATCGTAATAACAGCCAATACTTTAAGCAGTATCCAATTATTTTTTAAAATAATTTAAAAATTATTAATATTTGAGTTTGATGTATTGTTAGCTGAGTATTGATTTACTTCACACCTATTGAATTCTATCTATCTAAAAAGTTCTTGATTTTCTAATTTGAGCATTTGAATTTCTTTCGCATATGCCCTATTACATACACATACATAGATTATATTTATATATATGTATTGAAGAGAACATACCCGGAACAACAGTTTTATTAAAGTTTTTCTTTTTTTAATATTGGTATAGACTCGATAATTCATTTAAAAATTACATGTGACGTTGTAATATATCAAACACTTACAGTAAAGATTTGGCAATTTGTAAAGTATAAGATTTGCTCCTTATGCAGATTTAAAAAAAAAATACCACAAAAATACAAATATGTACAAAAAAAAATACATATTTTAGTACTTAGACATATTACGAATGTATCTTAAATTGGCAAATTTTGCATTATACACTAATTGGTGCAGGTGCTGAACAAACAAATATTTTGGTGCTTTTTATTGAAACGTGAATTGAATTGAATTAAATTGCCTTTTTTATAAGAGGGAAATTACTTTTCTGCGGTATTTATAGGCTTTTCCGTATATTAAGTGAGAAATGCTCTTCGTCGATAGCCCCATACCGTTGATATTGACGTGTTTAAACCTTTGGTGTGTTGATTTACCATAAGCCTCAGGCATTTTTCTTTTAACTGTAGAGACCAATGGAAGCGTTTTACTTCAGAAAATAAATGACAAGTTTATATAAATACCAATCTTAAAAAATATATATAAAAATATAAATATTTATCTACAATTAATTGTTATTATTACAGATTTAAATATATGTTATTAATTGCACGGCAAGCCTAGTAAATTATATCGAAATTCTTCTTCGTCTTTTATTGGTGTAACTAAATGTTAGAAAATATCCATTCAGACACGTTAATCTTCGTTTTTAGCACAAACACTTCTGTACATGTCTATACTCGATTACATTCATTTACACATACAATAAATGTATGCGTATTTGGTTACATATACACACACATTCAAGCAAAGTCCTAAGGGTGGGTGTGTGTACGTGTACCCCACTCTTCGACTGGGATACAAATTTTAAATTCGCACCATTACCAATCAATTCATTGATACATCAGTGTACACACATACACATACAAGCATATGTATATACGTATATCTCTATGCAATCGTGTAGCTGCATCGAAAGGATTTAAGACTTAATCGACCTCATATATGAGGTCATATGCATACACACACACATACACACACACACACACACACACACTCACACACACACACAGAGGCATCAAACTAAATTTTTGTTGTATAGTCAACGTATAATTTGAAAATAGTTTGTTTTACCAACCTACTCACATTTATTAACAGCCTGTGATGATTAATTAATCGAATCTATTTTCAGTTCACCGGGGTAATACACAAAAAAAAATGCAGATCTTTTGTGAATTTTGTAGTCTATGAATATAAGTAAGAACTTTTCCTACGCGCGTCTTCAACTGAACTAAATGTACGAGCATAGGTTGGACTTGAATGGGACACTCAGCATCCACAGTCCCTGACAAAATTATGAAGCTCGCACACTAACTTTCTTTCGATTTACGTGTGTTTGTATTCCATGCACGCTTCGGCCTCCGTTCGGATATGGGTTCGGGTTCAGATGGGCAGAATATACGTGGGCGTAGGTGTTCGGTTTTTATATGTATAAGCTGTTATGTGTATATTTATGTAAAAATGTGCGCGCACACATTTGCGCCATGAATGAAAATGTAGGTAAAAACTGTTGCTGGCTTTTTCGTTTTACAGCCAAGCGATTTTGAGAGCTAACAAGGGTTGAATTCCAATCCTCTATCCCTGTGACTGTTCTCCTTGTCTGCAATTCAGTAATGAATGCCCACGCATTCCGAAAACCTTACTCAAACACACTCGACCTTAAAATTGGTGTATAAGTATTCCAACATTGTGAATTGAGCTTGCAATCAATCTGGATAGCAACAAACAAAACGATCACCCAGTTTAATTATAATTTATTTAGGTGTTTAAGAATTTATTATTCAATTACGGATTGTAATTATTATATTTTTTTTAATAATCAATTAATCATTAATTTGATAACCATCTTTTGAATATGTGTATTTGCTTCAAAGGGGAATTGCAAATTTTATTAGCATGAACGCAAACAGATTTACTGTAAATTCTTGTTTCTACATTTTTTTGAAATCATTTATTGTTGGGTCCTCCGCTGGGTCAAAAGCGGCTTTTTTGAATAATGCGGATATGTGTGTTTGATCGAAAATTAAGCTAATTTCAAATTGAGAAAAAGTTATCATTTGAATATTTCGCGCTCACTTTGTGCTAAAAATATCGATACATGGTGCGCATAAGGAAACAATGCATCCACACGCTTTGAAGAAAATTATGTTGTGTTGTTATTAATGATGGGCGCGTGTCGGATTTCTGCACGACGAGGCACAACGGTACAAAATTTAGAAAGAAAGTATGAAAACTATTTTTCTGAGCCTCCTAAAATTAGAAGTTTGCTTGCAGAAATTGTATTTATTTAAAAATTTAATTTTTAGTGCAATTTAAACACTTTCAGCCTTTTTCTATATTCATATTCTTCATATTCGGTATTTTTTTTAAATATCTTGTACTTAACCATGAAATCAATCGCCTACAATGATTGTTTGATGCCTTTCATTCTTGCTATGCGACATGTGTACAAAGGAAAATATATAATTTTTTTGGGACACACATGTTTAAAAATAGCGATGTGAACAATGTCAACCACTTATTATTAGCGGTTCTGAAATTGTGCAATCAAAAATATGTAATGTGTGTGTCGAATTTATGTAGGAAAATACACCACTCAACTGACCCTGCATTTATTTGGGATTTTTTAGTGCATTCCAAAACAACTGATTCTTTTCTTGGCAAATACATAAAAAATGTCGGATAAACAAATATTAAATATCCAACCAAACACCAAATAAAGTTTTAGATAAAGTTTTATATGTTGCAGCTTAAAAAAAAAGTCAACATAACATTGAAGCGAATTGAAAGCAAAGAAAAGGTATTAATATTGATTTTTGCATATCCTGTGTTGGTGAAAAATGGAAAAGAAATCAAATAAATATTATATTATATAGAAGAATTGAATAGTGATCAAAGAAAATTGATTTTAATCAAAAGTAAATAGTTTTTAACTACGTGCGCCAGTATAGATATTGGAAAAATAAAGTGGATACAGATAAATATATAAGTATGCTTGTATATATGAACATATGTATCTCATAAAATGTGTATCTCATGAATTAAAACACATACACACATACACATTTGAACATGCATCTGATTAATGACAAACTTTCAGATTAGGCTTTTAAATATATAACTTTTGAATTTAAAAACGAAGATTCTTTAAAAAGTATTAACTATTTGCGAACATTATTATGAAACATAATTTAAATGATAACGGAGTTTATCAAAATATTTTTACTACCCGTTACAGAAAATTAACGTCGGTAAACTCAATATTTTTTTGGAACTCTGGTCATTCATAATTTTAACAGAATTATGGTGTCCTTACAAGGCATAAATTATGTCCACTTGGGTATAATACTGATTATTGGACTCGGTTCTACCGTGTCTACCGGGACTTCTAATGAAAATGAGGACGAGTATCTAATACAACGAGGTGCGTGTAAATATACTTATTTATTTTTACCATTACTAATTTTCTTAAAAGAAATGTTAATTACTTTATTTTGTACATTTATTTAGTTTCTTGAAAAAGATTGTTTTTGTCGGTCAGCCAGTGTTCATGTGCTTATTATGTTATTATTTCCATCGATTTTAGAATATATATTGGAAAAGTCGTATCATGGATTGATTCGAGAAAATGAGACTCTTGTGGAAATAACGCCATTAATTAAAGTTGACGAAGAGAAAATTTGCAACTTTCGCATTTTAAAGAAGCCATATCACGAAATTCCATTCCAGGTATGAGTGTATATTATCAAAGGACAACAGAATTAAAAATTGTTGTGAGGAGTCGTTATCACAGAAAATGGTCAACCCATACAAACTTACATTTATAGATTGAACTGGTCAACAACCTGGGAATATTAAAAGCACGACACACACTCAACTGCGAGAAACGTAAAAGCTACCACTTTGAAATTGTTGCCATATATTGCGACGGAACGCCATCAAATTCAGCCAACGTGCACATAACAGTCATCGATATCAATGAATATGCTCCGACCTTCCTGCAGCCATCCTATGTTACCGAAGTTGACGAGGGTAAACTGTATAATGAAATCATTCGAGTCGAAGCAGCTGACAAAGACTGCACACCGCTTTTTGGCGACGTTTGCAAGTACGATATATTAAATAGCGACGAGCCATTTACTATCGACAACGAGGGCTCCGTAAAGAACACTGAACCCTTGTCGCATAAGATTTCCCATAATCATATACTTTCCGTTGTGGCCTATGACTGTGCCATGAAGGAATCGGCGCCCATAATGGTCAGCATCAAGGTTCGACGTGTGTGCGATGCAAAATTCTTAGGTATACCCGAGCGCATTGATTATACTGTAAGTACACACATCTTTCCCCAACTAATTTATCTTCACTTCTTAGCCATATGCCAAGTTTAAAATAAAAAACATTGAATATCTGCAGCTATCGGCACATTTGCGCTTTACAATCTACGTTGATTTTTATACTTTTAGTCCGGCAGCACCGATAGCTTACAGCTATTTCCAAATGCCTATTTACGATCTATATTGATTTTTATACTGTCAGTCTGGTAGCACTGATAGCTTACAACTATTTCCAAACGACTATTTACGATCTATATTGATTTAAATACTTTCAGTCTGGTAGCACTGATAGTTTACAGTTATTTCCAAATGCTCGATTGGATCTATGCAATATATTATGCAGCACAGATGATCTCAACATTCACGCAGCGGTTGCGCTTAAGGTAAGTGCATTTTTTCAATATTATTCTACTATTTTTGTTTATTTATGTATATATATTAACACAAACTTACCCATACGTGAAGACCAAGCACATATCATTCGGATGCGATCGAGATATATCCAACTGTTCAGCGAGCACAAGCCTAAGGGATCTCCTGCCTCGTGGTGCCGACTGGACCACAGAGCTGAGCTATGACGAAGGCCCCGAGCCTATATTTCATTTTGACGGTTTCGCTGGCGTCGTAGTGCCCGCTGGCTTTATTGGACACCACGATTTTTCGCTACGTCCGTTTAGCATTGTGACCATTTTCCGTCATGGCAGCCAAAGCTCATCGAATAGGCATGTCAAGGAGCACATCGTGTGCAGCGCGGACGATCATAAAATGAATCGCCATCATATGGCGCTTTTCGTACGCAACTGCCGCCTGATACTGTTGCTCCGAAAGAACTTCAACGAGGGCGACTTGAATATATTTAGCCCGGCGGAGTGGCGCTGGAAGATACCGCAGGTGTGCGACAATGAATGGCATTACTATGTTATCAACGTCGATCAGCCGTCTAAGGTGGAGCTCTTCATTGATGGAGTACAGTTCGAGAGCTCCGTTGAGGACCGTCACGCTAACCCAGAGGTTATCGACGATTGGCCTCTGCACGCGGCACATGGAGTTAATACGACATTGGCAATTGGTGCCTGTTATCAGAGCTCCGAGAATCGGCTAAAGCACGGATTTAATGGCGATATCTCAGAGGTAAAACTTTCCGTTGATGGTATACTCTCGGTTGAAGATATTAAATGTGGCACCAGCTGCGCCGAACATTTGCTTCCGTCGAGCGAATTGCAATTGGAACAACCAGAGGATTCGGCAGACTTTCAAGTGCAGGTCAATGCAAAAATGAACGAGATATACATTGAAGCTCAGAGCAAGCACAAGATTGAGCAATTGATGCGAAAGATTCAATACATCAATATTAAAAAGAGCCCCACCATAGGTCGCAGGAATATTGAAGTTCGCACGACAATGATGTGTACAAATCAGAGTGCCATACGCCTGCCCACAATCGAGACCTACATCATGGTTAATGATCCCATACAACCAGTGGGTATAGCCGACTCGACTGTTTCGAGTGACAAACTGGCGGAGAATAAGGTTGACAAACTTAAGCCTCAAAATCAACGCGATCAACTTACTTCAAAGTTTTCTCAGGACGCGCACACGTTAAGCAAGATTGCGATTTCTGGTATACATATAATTCAAATATTTTAGTTCTTGTTAAATCATGAATTTTTTTTTTTAGGAACCCAAAACAAATTAGTCTCTTACCAAGAAATCAAATTGGGCGTACATATCTTGGATAGAATTCACATTGGACGCTCTGCAGATGATAAGAATGTGACTCCAAACGAGAATCTCGATTCATGCAGTGTGATTGTTTTCCCGTCTTTGAATCCCGATCACGAAGAAATTCAAATAGATGGTGATGAGTCGTTATCATCGACAATGGACATAAGAACAAACATTAACAAGGATGGCGTCGAAATGATTGGAACCGATTCGATTCGCAGCTATCTCAGCGTATTGCGTGCTCTCGTTTATAGCAACAAAAAGCCAGCCTATTATCTGAACCGTGTGTTCAAGCTTTCTTGCTCGCAGCTTTCCTCTCAAATTAAAAACATCGAGTATACGCTTACCCTGACCGTCTTGCATCCGAAGCAATCGTCCAAGACAACCAATGCACCATCTGCATCTATGTCGGTAACCAATGCCGAGGGAAATGACAACTTTTTGGGAGTCTACCACAATGGTCGTGGCCTAAGTGAGAGTAGGGATCAAGGTGCTCAAGGTACACACCTTTTTTGCTTCGTGACAAAATGATTTCATATGCTCTTCTTTCAGATACGAAATTTTTCTCAAACTCCTTACTTCATTCCAATGATGTACAGGAGCCCAAGTCACACGTACACTCTATCGTACACAAAGGTTAGCTCTTTCCACAACTGATAAATTTAAAAAAAATTATTTATTCGTTTATCTGTTTTTAGCTGAAGCTGCGCATCCAACAATGCTGATAATCTTAATATGTGTTTTTCTTGTCATATTGCTCTGTGGCGTTTCGATTGCAAGGCTAAAAAATAACCAAAAGTATACGGACCGACATCAGCCTTGCCCCAAGGTAAGCACCCAATAAACTTTACTGGATTGCGGTCATATGAAAAATACTACAAATAATAGTTTATATTCATCTTGCATAAATCATCTATTTATTTTATATATACTAACTTCTATATTAAATATAAATATTAACGGCTCGCAATATTTTCAGTAGAATGGGCAATTATAAATAATAAAAAAGAATGGGTTCAAGGATTTGTAAGACCTGGCTCAAACCCCGTTGTGATTCTATTATTTTAACAGAAATTTAACAACTTCGTCTCACTACTTACATTTATATATAGAATTTAAACTGGACTGAAAGGTGTAAAGATATTATATCTTCGGCACCCTGAAGACAACGTTTTTTACTTGGTTTTATTCATATTTCTTTGTATTTCAGGTCGCTGACGAAGGTTTAATTTGGGATGATTCTGCGTTGACCATAACTATAAATCCAATGCAAACCGATGCCGCTTCTGAGGAAAGCTCGGACTCTGAGAATACTGATTCGGAAGATGAAGAAGGTAAGCTCTATAAATATATTAATCGAATTATATTCAGTAGATTTAACCGTTTATACTTTGTCTCTAGTAATTAAAGATGGATTTGCACACATCAACCAGCTTGAATGGGACAACACCAATATGTTTTCATCGGCGAACTAATATGGATGTGTGTCGTTTATCAGTAAAAGTTGAAATTAATTATATGTAAATGTGCTTTTAATATATGAATTACACAATCCACTTATCCTACTAAAGTAATCCGCCAACATCCATGCATATACATATATAAATACTTCGAATAGAAAGTATAGAAGAATGCATATGCATAGATTTTTTGGTTGAGAATGTATGTGTATAGCATTTAAGTAGTGGCAAAAGGTATATATCTACATGTTATCCAACCGGAGATACACTTGATAAATACATATGCTTATATACTTCAACTGTAATTAACATATAGTACAATTATACCCGGCATTGGTCGACCCAGAGTAGACGCATATACTTAATATATAAGAGCTAATTGGTCGACTTATAAATACCCTTGCAAAATACTAAAATACACATTTTGACACACACATAATCATATATATATTGTCACAGACGATACTCGTAATAAATAGAAGGAGGCACTTCCGTCCCCATAATATAAGTCTAATCTTCTATTTTTATTTACGATTATATACATTTCACTAGCTTTATCTTCACATCCGATTTAAATAATTCAACAATTGAATTTAATTAAACATCAATAGATTGTTTAAAGTATTGGATTTCAGTATGGAGACTACACAAGAATTTGTACGCTATAATTATGTTTCATTCTTTATTTTTAAGTAAATGTCTCAATTTCTGTTAATTCAAAATTTTAAGATGAAATGAAATTAGTTAACTTTTTAATTCTGTCATATAGTCTTTTATTTACTAATCATTTCCGATTGTAAGACTTAAGACAAACATAGTGGATATATTATACGTACATAGTTATGTTTATATGAGCTTGAAAATTCCTGATTGAAGAATAAATTCGCTTAAGCGTTTCCTTGCAAGGGTATTTATGTTTCGGTTTCCCGAATAAAGCACGTTTGTTAAGTTGGCAAAAGTATTGGTTTCCGATTCAGGGCAATCTATGTTCAACCCTACTAATTATAATTTGTTCGGCTACATCATGTATATGATGAAGTAATCTAGCAGAGGAATGCATTTGTTTCTTTTGGGTTATAAAGTCCATGTACTTATTGTTTAATTTAAATGTGCTAATGATTATATATCTAGAATCGTAAATAAAAACACAACATATACTGTCACCCCATACCACAGAATCAAAAAAAAATAAATAAAAGGTCTCAGTACTTTAGTAACACTTATTATTTTATTAAATAAGAAAAATAAATCCATGTGTTTTCTTTCATGGGAATGGTTAACCTTTCAACATTCATATCAAAATTGCAGGATCTCGGGGGAATAAGCTTTGGGCTAATGAGCACAAAGTTTAGGGATCGAGCTTCAGTGGTCAAACAATATTTGTAAATAAATCAGAGGGCAAACCACCTTTTTCTGGTATTGTTTACTTAAAATCTTTCTTTGTGAAACTGACTCAGATTCATTGGTTTTTTACTATTAATTCAGTTCAGATTACAATCAAAATTGGAATGCTAGGATCGAACCAGTTTAGTTCAAAATCGATCTGCAGCCTAGGTGCGTATAAAAGTTCTTCTATTTATACTATGAAATAATAATAATAATAATAATAATAATGAATAAATAATGAAAATAATAAGTTACTGGGAGTTTTAACGACGTTTGGGCTACGACGTATAACTAAGTCCATTAGGTTTACATAATTTTGGCTCGGAATATCACAGAACTGCCTTCGAAAAATATATATTTATGAAGGGCGCATTAGTAACATCATATCATATCATTTAGCTTCCTGGAAAACAATTTCCCAAAAATGGAAAATAACGACTTTGTGTGTCCCAGATCAATTAATAAAGTACATTGTCGTATATCAGAAAGGGTCTTCGTAGAGTTAATTAAATTACACATGCTTATTTTCGGAAAATTTTATTATATAACCATTTAGTGATACATAGTTTTTGTATATATTTGTTATATAAAGTTATTTTTTAATCGACATTAGTATTTGCTTAGTATTTGTTTAAAATTAATGCCGACTAAAGTTGATTTATGAAATGTATTTTAAAGATATATTTTCTTACGAACACAATGCGGATATTTCACTATTGGTAATAATATTTATATTATGTTAATTTAGGCCTTACAAGTTTAATAAGAAACATTTATAAAATATTCGTTGTAAATATTTTAACCGCCATCTACAAATTTGATGTAAAAGCTTACATACTGTGTAAAAAAATATTTTCACGCGGTTGGGTATGTATGTAATACAATTAATTGTAAACATTTCTTTTAAGGTTGCCTTGTATGAACTGCAAAAAAACAAAAAAGAACATTTGGAAATTCTAAAGAAATAAACGCAATACTTCAAAAAAATTCCTTTACCTTCGTGTATCTTACACTCAAGCACTGAATTGAATATAAAATGTAACTCATATTTATATACAATGACAGTACTGGAAGGTTTCAAATACATCTTAACAATGATATAAGAAAAAACTGAACCTAAATTAACATATACATATATGCCCCTATCTATATCTGCACGATATTTCAAAGAACATCAATGAGTTTAATACTCTCCATGGGAGCAAAATGTCTTGATTCATAGCTAAACAGCTCGAAAATAAGTTATCTTAGACTCACCCTCGAACCATTAGTTCCACAAAGAATTCACACATATACAAATATATTAGTAAAAGTAAATATCTTCTATTCAAAAATAAACGGACGCACACAGTACCCCCCAGAGGAATCTTTCAATTCATTTACAACGCTACACAATTCTCAAGAACCAGTCAAACACAAATTGATTTTTTTTTATAAATATTGTAAGCTTAATAAAGCTTTTGCTTATTAATCTCCCTTTCTGCTTATATATTGTTTTATTTTCCTCAGTTAATTCGTAGTTATAACATAATTGTGTACGTTTTTGGTATCATTTCACATTGTACATACAGTAGTATGTGATTAAATAAGTTTTCAATATTTTGCGCACTTAATAAACTGTATTTAGTCTCACTCATTTTTACCGTTGTTATACAATTTCGAAGTAAAAACAAAAAAAAAAATCATAATAATTTATTAATTCAAATATAATCATATTATAATCAACTATAAATATAATAATAAAAAAAAAACGTGTCCAAGCCTCACTTAAAATTCAAATAACTAAATCATTAAAAACTACATTATGTAAATTCTGGTTGGACTAGATATTTGTCGACGTTTTTGTTCGTATATAAATAAATTTTCAAAGTAGAGACAACAAATGTTTTTGGAATACTTGATTAAGCAAGGCTAGGATAGTTTTGAAAATAATCAAATATAAACAATTGCTTAAAAACGAAAATGATTTTCAGCGCAAGATACTATCATCGGCTTTTTGTCAATCTTTAATATGATTGGCTAATAAATATATAAGTCTTTTTTATTCACATTAATAGTATAAGCTAAATATATGTATGTATATTTATATAATATTCATATATAGTTTCAATTAATATTTCTATTTGCATATGTATGTTTGTGTTTGTATTGTTATATTCTTTTATGTATTGAATTAATAATATAATAATATAATATATATATATATATATATATATATTATTTGTAATCAAATTTATAAATTTGATCGTACATGTGCTTCACCTAATATTACCGCCTATTTATCAGTCAACTTATAATAGAAAATTATGTATTTTATAATATTTGATGACAACGAGAATACAGAATAACATAATTTAGTAGCTATTTGTGTAGGTTATATTCCTTTCAAAGCCATTATGCATCATAATTTACTAGAATATAATAAACTTCTAAATCTAAAAATTGATTAAGAGTCCTTTCATCAAATACTATGCCACATATTAAAATATTAGATATATATATACATGCGATAAAAGGTGAGAAAATAGCTATGTATTTGTAATTGTAAATGTGTTTGTATTTTTATTTGCGATGTATTTATTTTATATTTATATGTATAAATAAATATATATATATAATTTACATATATATTTATATCTATTATATAGTATATATACTACGTGTATAACCGCATGGTTTCCTGATCTGAACACCAATATTAAAATGCGTTCAAATATCTAATACAAAACCTGTTTTTGGAAGAATGCGCTCGACATTTGTTTGAGATACCAGGCTGTGAAAATCGAGTTGAGATAATCCTAAAATATGACATATCAATTTTAGACATGCCAAAGGACTTTCAATTCAAAAGCAACTTGTGAATTAACAAATCCAGCTACACCAAATAAAAGTAGTTTTAATTGGAATATACTCTTAATGTCATCTTCCGATGCAATGAACCAAATTAATTTAACAAATATTTACCCCACCGCAAGGCTTGTAGGCTTAGAAACAGACTGACGGGCTAACAGATTCTACTTCTGATCCTAATTAATCTCTATGTAGTTACCTTATGTGATGAAGGTGCATACGTTAGGACCGGGTTTTTTGTATGAAACTTCTTTGTTTACCATCGATCACACTCAAACTAATTTTAAAAAACCTTCGTTCAAATGCATTTGAGGGGTGCTTCAAACTTTTCGAAAAATGCATTCCTCCTTGGTGAAAATTTGGTTTAAAGATTTTGGTGCACGTAATGTTTGTTTTGTATTATATGCAAGCATGCATGCATACATGTATGAATATAAGCGCGGATACCTGCATACATACATATATACATACATACATACATATGCATGGGTGCGTGTATGGGTGTGTGTTTGTATATGTTGTTTTCTAATACCACACGCAGGCTAAGCTTATTTGACGCTGTACTGAAAATTTAAATAAATCGAATTTCTATCAAGTACTCTCCTCCTCGATTCTCAAGAAGTCTACACAATATATTATACTTATAATATAGTGAAGACATTAATCATTTAAACACAAGAAATAATTGTGTTTAATCTCTTCAACTATCTAAAGTATGTATAATATTAATTATTATCAGAAGTGGAATCTCTCAGCCCGTCAGTGTGTCTCTCAGTTCTGACGCACTGTTAAATAGATGCCTTAGAAAAAATCATTCGAATACTGTGTTTATATGATATAAACAAGTTGCTGTTGGTTTTGAATAATTTGTAATTGTTTTATCGATATCAAACTGTCATAAGTATCATACTATATAGCTACCAAATCCATATTTGGTCGAAAATTGAGTTCTTTGTGTCAGATCAGATCGTCAGATCGTTACGCTGTACGTCTCTAAGGGTATTAAATCTTCGGTACCTCGAAGAAACCTGATTAATATTGATTTAATTTTTGTTCAATTAAGGGTTATTTGCTTTCTTTGGCTTATTTATAACATTTCTAATTTCACTTATCCACAAATTAGGTTAAGGTTACCGAATGTAATATAGACGAGATAAAAGAAAATTGGATTTATGCTGGGAATACCAGAATAGAATGTTCGTCAATAGGCATGTGCATGTATATAAATATTAATATAATATAATGAAGATTATTTTAATTTCATAAACCAATAATAAATAATATCAGTATTTTTTGTGATTGGTTTAAGCTAAAATACGCATGGCATGGTACACAATAGAGTGGCATATTGGACAAATTGATTCCATGGAGACACAGATCTGGTTTGCACAGTCCATACAAAACATATTGTGACCACAAGGAACAAGAGCTGTGGTCACTTCTCTCTCGTTGCACACAAAACACTCGCGATGCGATGAATGCAATTTGTCCGAGCTAGTCTGGACCGTGGTGCGTTGGTGTTGCAATAGATGGCTACTATTTGGGCATGGTTCCTTGAAGGTGTTGCCTACCTTTTGACTTATGTTTAGGCAGTGCTCACCCAAAAGCGAGTCCGTTGGACTAACCGAAGCCGTTGGTGAGCAATGGGATGCCGTCGTGACTGTTGTAGCTGAAGGCAGATTCCAAATGCTTGGAGAGTCTCCAATACCCTCATCAACGTCAATGGAATCATTCAAATTCTTCCATATATTCAACAGCTCTGGGGGAGTATTAACGCTGTTAGTACTATTGGCGCTATTGTTCGTGCTTTTGGTTGATGCTGTTGAGGAGGCTGATGAGCATGAGCGCGTCAATATGTTGGCAGAGATCGAATGGCACTGGGCAGAGGCAGAGCCTGATGATACGGACGTGGGTGGACAGAAGGATAAAGTTTTATTGCTGCCATTGACATTGGCATTGGCATTGACATTGGTATTGGCATTGACATTGGTATTCGAATTGGTATTGCGGAACATATTTTTTTTCAAGGGTTGACCGTTAATCTCATTAACAGTGCCTAATAGAGCCAGCGCGAAATTCTTGTCGGTTGTGCTTACAATTGGAGCGATATCTACTAGATCAGAATTAGGGAAACATTTTGTTAAATTATGAACCGATACGGCATTCATCATAGCATTTGTTGTTGTTGTCGAATTGGAGATGTTGATATTTTCAATAACATTAAGAGCATTATCTGCGTAATTAACATTGGGGGAAATATCGCTCTTATAGATCGATGACAATATATTAGTGTTTAAATCGTCGCCTAGTATCTGAGTGAGCGTATTAATCGTGTGCAGAGTGGCAAACTCGTTCGATTCTAATGATTCAGTACCATTCTCACTGCCCTGGGTACTATTGCCCGTTCGAAGTGCTATGTGAGCCTCGATTTGCTTGCGTGCTGTCTCAACATTCTCTGGCAGTCCGGTTACCTCGAAAATGGGCTCCTTCTCGCGAGACGGTGTGACTATGTATGTTTGTGTTTCTTGTTGTATATGCTTTATGGTGGCACCTTTGGGACCAACTACTAGACCCACAACTCTATAGGGTACACGCACCTGTATTGTGATCTGCCCGGGTAGACATGGTGGCCCAGACTGGGCACGAGCAATTATGCCCACGCTTAATGAACCTGAATTACCATTTCCAGATAGTCCACTATTCGATCCTTCAATTGAGGGCTTTCGGGATGCTCGAATTAAGCTGAAGTGATCAGCAGCTGAAAGTATTTCCCGTTTGGCCTTGTTCACATCCTCTTTTCGTCCTGTTACAACAAATACGGGCTCCTCTCCTCGAACTGGAGTCTTGATGTAGGTGTTTGTCTTCGCTCTCAAAGCTTTTATTTTGCACCCTAAATAACATAAAGAATTTGAGAAATAGATTACTTTCCGAAAACCTTTTAGAAAGATCGAGAATTAATGCGACCCCGCCCGTACTCTATAACATATTGGAAAAATGTATATTTCTTAGTCACGATTGGAATTTAGCATATATCGCAAAGTATATAGTATAGTATAGTTAGACATATTCACTTACCTTGGCGTCCCACGATTTCAGCAACGTGTTCTGAGCTGGGAACTGGGACACATTCGGTCATATTTTGAGACTTCTTTGATCTGTCTTCCAGCCCGGCGGACGTCATTAAGAGTCCAGATCCGGTCGTCGGTGGTAGCGGCAGATTATGCATTGCCACCTCACTCCTAGCGAAAGCGGCAGATACAACATTAATGGAGCCCATGTCATAGTCATTTTGTGCGGGCATTGGCTGGACGTAGCCGTTTTGATTGTTCTCATTCAAGCCAACTAGAGACAATTCCAATGCCAATTGCAATGTGCGCGGGTCTTCGGATAGCGGGATTGTATGCACTTTATGCTGTTCAATCATTTGGGTATGGGTAGTCGGATTGATCTTATGAATTGAATCTGTCATACTAATATCATTAAGCATTTTTGGAGTAGTAGCATTTACAGCGGCATGACTAGACATTATAAGTGAGCATCTGTTAGCAATAAATGACGTTGACTCTGATTGTTTCTGTAATTGATACGTATTGTCTTCCGATACGATTTCTGGATCTGTGAATGCCGACAACGGCACCGAACTATTATCCACAATCACAATTCCACTTTCAACGCCGGAAGCATTCGAAGATGATACTGAAGATGATTTGTTATTGATAGCAAATGGCGATATTTGCGATTTTGGTAGCGAAGCCAAAGCTATTGTAGAGGAACTCACTTCGCTGTATATATTTGTCTCCGGTACGATTTGTGCTTCAAACATCTCATTATATATGGTATATATTTCTGTAGTACTATAACTCTTATATATTTATCGTTTTATATATTAGGGCCTTTTTATCAGCATTATATCAGAAAGTCCGATTCTATTGGTAAGTGTTAGCCAGTCCCAGCACGCGTCAATTCACGATGCCAGAAAAGCCTATACATTATAGGCATTAATGTAAGTACTTAAAGCCCGCAATATTAATTGCGAATAATGCGAATCTCTCACTTGACTCTTGGCATTTGCATTTGGCAAATCTTCCGGGAGTAGTTGGTTTTCTTTTTCTGCAATAGAAAGAAATAATAATATGCATTTGGTATACATACACAGGCATACTCTTGGGTGTATGTGTCTTGTATAGGCATGTAATTCATACATACATACATACACAAATACGCACATATGTATGTCCATTTGCTTTGTGTGTGTACTTACAAAATATCAGACTGAACTACCATGGCACTCTTAAATATTGATGTAAGTAAATGCAATTCACGAACACACTTTTTTTTTGTTTTTTTTTTGTTTGTGTTGCCTTAAATATAAATAAATGCTTCAAATTTGATAAAAATGTAACTGACCGACGTTGATAGTTTCGACACTTTTGTCGTTTTAGCCGCGTTGCTTCCGTATATGCGTAGAAACATACATCCATATGCACATACATTTATCGGCGTTCTCTCTTTCTCTCGTATCAACCCCTAACTTACACTAAACCTTGTGTCACTCACCCTATAACCTCTCTTAGCTTTTCTTTCTCTACGTCGAAACCCCACCAACTTTCCTTACTAAAATGTGTATGTAATATTAAGGTAATATTTTCCAATTTATTTGTACATTCGGTGAAAAATTCGAATGCGTGTAAAACTTGAAACTGTTTAGAATGTCATTCAATAATTCAGTGCACATACATTTTCGTACATAAAATACATATATATCTGCAAAACTACACACATTCCTGTGGTAGGATCGCAGCCACGCCTCGCCTACATTTGTAATGTACAGGATATTAACTACACAGTTAAAGAAGTGTCAACAACTTATGTACATACTTTTGTCTTTGACTATTAACAAACAGGTTCGGCTTCGGTATACTTTTTTATGTTTTTATCAAAACAATTTTAATTTTCACTTGGCCGGCTATAAAATCATTGCCGGCTCACACATTAACATTTAATTTTAACATGCAATGAATGTTAAAGACAGAGCACTCCTAACAGTCGTTAACATTTACAGAGCACATAACAGACTGATGTGTGGTGTATACACATAGATACAATGGCAAATTATATTTGGCGCACGCTTACTCAAATGTTAAAACATGCTGTACATTTCTACAAAGCATTATCCCGATTACCGCAATATGTTGAGCCGCACACTTTATCATTTGTTGCAATTCACTCAATTTTCATACATTGACAATTTGAAGCACATGCTTACTCAAATTGTTATCATACTGCACTACACTGCACAACATCTTAACACACAAATATTGAAATAACAAAGGTGTTTGGCTGTGCACTTGCTGCTGAAAATATAGTGAGGTTTAAATTGAACCAAATATATATGTGTCTGCATGTATGAGTTAGTGCACGATCATCTGCCAACATCGATGAAAGTGACTATTGAACTGATATCGAAACCAGCCGTTCACGTCGAAGCAGCAGTTTGTGGCGTGTATCAAAATAGCAACGGGTCGTGACGTCAATTTTTTGAACTTGATTCCGGAGCTGGAAGTACCTAATTTTTAATGCATTTAATTATATTTGTAGAGTACTGTACTAATTATATAAATACTGGGTGCATTCAATTGATTTTAATATTTCGTCTTATTGTAAGCCAACCTGATATAGTTCGTACTAAAGGTCTATCGAACGCTAGCTCTTACGTGAGCTGAATCACTGTTTCAATTCAGTGTTCAACAATTTTATAAAGTATTGGGCGGGAACAAAGCAATTCGAATTATATAACAAAAAAACTGAACAGATTCTAGATTATTTACCTTAATAAGACAAACTCAAATAGATAAAAGATTTAATACCCTTGTAACCATTTCTGTTTTCTTGATATGTGAGTATAGTAAAGCTCGTAAATGCTTAGTCAGACATAATATTTTCCCATATAACCCTCTTTTTTACTTACTTTCTTTCTTTCCTATAGCAGCTGTATGATGTAGTGGTCCGATCCGGCTCCGACATATGAAATACTTACAACAGAAAGACTATTTCGCATAAAAACGGGCAGAACGACATGGTAAAATCAAATCGGCTGTTGATGCTGATCTAAAAAAGGGAGAGCAAAATTATAATACACTTTACAAGGGTATGTTGAAAGCGAAATACCATAAGAAATCACCAAAATAGACAATATCGACATGATACGACTTTATCGCTCTCTTTATTTCGTAATGCAATTTTAATACTCTCTGCAAGGGTATAACAAATAGCCATACTTGTAAAAAGGACTATACAAAAATTGTATTTTAAGAATTATCAGATATATAATATTATATTATTGTGTACATTACAGTAATAGCTATGTGTGGGTGTACTAATGTTGAAAAGGAATCGGTTTCTTAAGTTTAAATTGTTTGTAATACAATTAAAATGGAGCGCTCTTTAATAATTCCTTCAACACTTGACAAAATTTAATATATGTTTAAGAACTAGTTTACTGTCAACATATTTTACTGTAGTGACTAATAAATCAATTAATATACATACAAATGTAGGAGAATAGTGTTTATATTAAACGCCCTGGTATGAATTAATGCTTGTCATACTATTTTGATTTTTACTCGATGACTTTTGAAAAGTCAAGTACATCATGCTTTAAAACTGTTTCATTATTTGGATTTTTGGTTTAATTTCAATAATCTACTTATGCATACTAATAATATCCAAGCTACAGTCTGTCAGATGTTTAGATATTACTATATAATTTTGACGCTTTTGAAACCTGGCTTTTGGATACGTATACATATAGCATAATATAACGTAAATTTATTCTACAGATTAAAGGTTCTGTAAAGCTAAAGCTAATAGTTATTGTGCTGGAAACTGTTGTTGATGAAGCAATTGTTGATGATGCCGCCGTTCACGTGCTCTTTCTATGTGTCGTTTGCGTTCTTCCTTAGTCCAGTAACGTCCGATCTTAACCTCTGATATTGTATCATCCTCTGTTGTTGTTATTTCATTGTTGCGAATGCTTTTCCGAATTCCCATGCTGACGTTGTTACGTACTGGTCGTTTTACAATATACCGAGTTCCATCTGGACGTCGCTTTACTTTCCATACCATAGGAATATCCTCTGAAGCATTTTCCGTTGTGACAAGAATAGAACTTGGTTTTGGTACTGAAAGTGTCTTATTGGCGACCTGTATAGGTTGTTTATTGTTATAATGCTTGTTTGTTTCGGCAAAAAGTAATTTTAAATCTAGTAGTTCCGCTTAGACTTTGTACTTAGAACATGTGGGTATCCTTTTCCTTCTAAGTTCAAAATTAAAACATGCAAGAGGTTCTAGTCGGGAGCTCCCGTAGAGAGGATACCCTGAACCCACTTCTTTCAACATCAAATGCATATATATATATTCTATTTTAGAAGTTAAATGTCAAGTTTGGTGACTCTAGCTCTTATTATTTACCAAAATTGCCCAAAAAACAGGATATCGATATCGATTTTTATCGATTGCTTGGAAATGGAGAAAGTTATCGATAATCGGAACAGGCACTAGGCACTGCGCAGGCACTAGTCTCTAGCTCTTATAGGTTCTGAGATCCTTGTGTTCATACATACGGACGGACGGACGGACAGACAGACGGAAATGGCTAGATCGACTCGGTTATTGATGCTGATCAAGAATATATATACTTTATGGGGTTGGAGACACTTCCTTCTACCTGTTACATCCATTTGGATTTTGCATAAATACAATATACCCTTATACCCATTTTTAATGGGTTCAGGCTATAACAAAAAGGACAGATTTTTTCGGGACGCCCAGGTTTAACGCTCCTAATAGCTGACTTCTACTACCAAAGGACAAACAAACGAATAATGGCTAGATCGACTCGGCTATTGATGCTTATTCAAAAACGCCTTTTACCGATTTTCAATGGGTTGAGGTTATAAGGAGAGGAGGTATATAGAGAGAGGAGGTATAAAGGGTATATACAGAGAAGGTATGCAAAAAAAATTATTTTAATCTATCATATCATACTATTTGAGAGTCTACACAGGTGAGGTTTGATATCAAGTTATCAATGGTATAAAACAAATTCGATTTGCGCGGACCATAGGAAGGCCTACGTTCAAATGATTAAATCTCTTTTGGCATTTAATTTACCTCTTGACTGCTAACAAAGTGATAACGGCTCAGATTGGGCGCATTGAATTGAGGGCATTGGCCTTGCTGTTCTTGCTGTTCTGTTGGATTGGGCTTGGATCGCATTATTTTAGAGTCCGTTTTTGCTGGCGCTGCTGCTGATGCGTTGAGTGCGAAAGGGTTCATCTCGTCTGTAGATGTTTTATTGAGAGTGGTATTTTCTAAAAGAAAAGATGTAATTGTAAATATTATGCTATCAATTTTGTAACCAAATTAATTTAGTAACTTACCGCCAGGACCACTATATTGGGTGGGGTTGGAACATAATATGCGACCAGTCTTACCGAATGGCAGCATAAGCATGCTAGTTACGGGCGTTTTTAATACAGAATCTTTTGATGACTGTGATTGCACTAAAATGGGTTGCGTATTGCATTGATAGGAGCTAGCGGCGATTATCGGATTGTTGGCAGCAGTGGCAGCAATAGTTTCATTGTCTAGATTTGAGGCGTTTTGGCGAGGGGAAGCACTGTTATTGGAGCCACCTGTATTATAGGCACTTGAAGAGTTGTCAACCTCTTCTTGATTCATGCTTTTATTCTCGTTTTCAATATTATTATGGCCGCATGCACTATATCCAGCCCCACTACTGCTTGATCCACTCGTATTTGTTATAGCACTGCGCAGTGTATATACACGATTTGATATTCGATGCTGCTGCTGTTTATGGTACAAGCTTGGACGGCCAGCCAGGGTGTGTACTGATCTTGGACTGATCTGCGACTTAATACCCAACCATTGTGCAACTCGTTGTGTTTGCTGTTGCATTTCTAAAACATCTGCTTCGGGCATCATTGGTGATGAGCAAGATCCCATTGCGGTCATATAGTTTGAGCTTTGATATGGTGAGCAGTAAAGTGGCTCAGTTTCGGAATCCTCGGGAATAGTTTCATAAATATGCTCGCAGTCGTCATAATCATATTGTTTAGTTTTCGTGATAGTGGCAGTTTTCGTTGTATTTGGCAGGATTTTATCTACTAATTGTTTCAATGCTACTTCTTGGCTCGCATTGCTATCTAACTCGAACTGTGGGTGACTCGCCATTCTCGGCTTCTCAATGAAGCTCATGTCCGTGGAAGTAGTATGTGTTTGACTCTTACTTTTAGTCATTTCTATATTTGCTTCCGAACCGTTGGCAGCTGCTGGTAATTTAATTAGATGGTTTAATTTTGTAGATGGTTCAGTTATTAGATTGTTAACGGCATTTATTGACTGCCGTTGTGATAAAAGAACTTTGTCTAATTTGTCAACGACATTTGTGTAATCAGAAAGGAAGCTGTTAGCATATTCGAAGTTACTATCCATATCTTCGTCTTCGTCATCATCCTCATCCTCGTCATCATCGTCGTCGTCCTTTATTATATGTAAGAGCAGCTAATCAAGCTTTTGATGAGCATGTGTATAGATTTATTTGTATACTTACGGGATATAAGAGTCGACTGACAAGCAACGTAACAGCCATATTATTCTCGGCCATTCGTGTTTCAGCGTGTTTTTTACTTTTGATGTCCATGCCGTTGATGCGAAGAATTTGATCACCACGCCGCAGCCGACCATCCCTACCGGCAACACTCTCTGGTTGAATATCACTTATGAAAACATTCTCACAGGAATCCACATCATCTGTTGGTGCCTTCAAGTCTGTGTTAATGTTTTCGTTGCATATCACAGGCTTAACAATACTTTCTTCGTTATCTCTGTTACTATAGAAGCCATTGCAGGAAACGCTGAGTCCTATTTGATCGTTAGTTGAGTCTCTCTTAACGAGCGTTACTTCCTGCAAGTTTAAAACAATTGCATATATGTGGTGATATATGTATATATGTACATATATATATATAGCCTTACCTCGATGTCGATATCTGGTTCCAAACACTGCTCAAAGAGATGATGCTCTTGCTCGATAAAATGATCGATGGTTTGGACAATATCTTCATTCTGATCGCGATGCCCCACTATAATCCTTTTATTAGTTTTATTTACTTCAGCAAAAGTTTCACATGTTTGTGTCTCCTTTGATACTGCCATGGGCTCAGCAACAGTGGGGGGCTGCTCGGTACGCTCAACATTTCGAAATGTGCGCAAGGTTAATATGATTTGATTTTTAGCTGACGGTGGCAAAGGATTGGAGGAGTCACTGGTTGCGCTGGCATCTGATATTTGAACACTTTTCGTTTTTGAACAGATTTCATCCGCCTCCTGAACGCCATCTATCGTAGAATTGATGTCCTCGTTTAAGTTTGACGGACTTATTGGATTTTTCTTTCGGCATAATTCAACTACTAGGGTTTCTTTAGCTTGAAGGAACATTTGAACCGCTTCATAACTTGACAAGGATGTAATATCGCTACCATTTAGCTGTAATTAATGATTTTATTCATGAAATTGTATTCTAATCCAGTATTTAGGATCAAAACAAACGCGGCGAAAGTGTACAAGCTTGCATTGCACACTATTCCACATATTATTGCCTATATTACAGTGTGTCTGTGTGTGTGTGTGTGTGTATCAGCTATGTGTGGAATTAGTTTTAGTGCAGGTGCAACTTTAACTCACCTTTAGTACAACATAATCGCACTCAACAACACCAACACAGTTATTTGAGCACATTTTGATAATTAATTACATAGTTCTATTAATTTTTATTCCGTGAAATGAATCCACACCCACACAACAACAGAAATACAGACATCGTTTACCATCGCCACATTCGCCGCGACTGTGTGACCAGAGTATGGATATAGTAATAATCTCAGTATTATCGATTATTTCTAAGGTCTTCTGATGGTGGTATTTTTATTAATGTGTCCAACTACTATAACCAGAAAATAAGCAAATGATTTTATGTTCCTTACTCTCATTTTTATTACTCTTGTGTATGGGCTGGTCCTTTGAGAAATCATTTCAAGTATTGCAACACATCTGAAATAATTTATTTATTCGCTTGTTCGTGGTGAATGACAATGTTATTAGAATATATACATGGACACTAAACTTAACAGCAAACGATGCCCTTGTAGTTACTTACAATTAGATTTGGATTACTCTGTAACTAACAAGTATAAAAAAGGTATAAAAAAGTAAAGCAATGATAAGCCAAATAGATTTATGTAAATATTGCATTAACATTACATACGCATGTATGTATGTACGTTCGTGCAATGCTCAAACATGTTACAGGTACTTTAACGTATGTATGTATGCATGTGAGTGCAAATATTTGTGTGTGTATGTATGTATGTATGGTATGGTATTGTATGCACTTATCTTATTTTATTACATTATATTATATTAATATCTAAACACTTTTCTTAATATCTTGCTCAGTATGTGTATATATTTCAATTTTGAGGCTAGGAACAGCTGCATCCCTCAACGGACATATTTGGTATAACACTCAACACCAGGTGATGGCTCTCATCAAAATACAATAAGCTTAAGGAACTCATTTTGGTTGGCGAACAACACGGGGTCGCCGATGTTGTCAAAGCGGCCAAATGGGTATGAGGATATTGCTCCAAATACCCAACTCTGCACTCGCCACTGCAAAAGTATGCATCAAACGAATCGGGCGCCACCACAAAATGCCATCCGAAGCTGGTGAAGTTGACCTTTAGAGGATATCGGCAACAGCGCAACTCGTGATCGCTCTCAATGCAATCCAAGTAAACGCTCCGTTTTCGTCGATGTTTTTTCCGGGAGCCAATTTCAATGTGAACTGTCTACAAAAACAGGCAAAAAAATCACAATTTACAAATATATCATATAATATCTATCTATACCATAGTATAGATATAGATATAAGAGATATCGTACCAATGGGTTCTTTGAAGTACTGTCTGTCGTTACCACCAAAGGCCTCATCCAGGGCTCGACGCCTTTTATGAAAATTTCTTGGAGTTGAGTTGGATTCGGGCCAATTGTATATTCTGTGCCGAACAGGGGCTTGAGATCCACGTTCACCCATTGACCGAGACCCGATGGAATTTTGTGACGGAACTCAAATATTTTCGCCTTGTGTGTATAACTCGTGCTATTTGAACGACGTATGGCCCGATGCAGAGCCACGACAATGTCCTTGTTCTGATAATTGGCAATCTCTTCAATGATCTTCGGCTGATGGGCACTTATCCATTCCAAGCCTCGCAAATATAAGTGAAGTGTTACGTGAGATATGTCCGAGTATCCAGTATTGAACTTGAAACGAAGAAGATCTGATTTGCGGTTATGTCGCACGTGAGGCTCTTTAGAGATGATTGAGAAAATAAACAATAAATTAGATTTGGATGTCGATTTGTATGTTTTTTGGGATATTCAACTTACGTTCTGGAAATATATAAATGCTGCTTATGTGAGAAAGAATGCTTTCATATTCAACATCATCATCATCATCAGAATTATCATCGTCATCGTTGCTTCTGGAGTCAGTGGATTTATGATTTTGATGATCATCAAATCCCAGATTGTAAATAAATTGAAATTCCTTAAAATTATTGGGATCGTCAGACTGCATTTCTGGGGACGAGTTCTGGTTCTGGTTGGAGGATGAATGCTTTGCTGATGTATGCTGCGAATTGTAAATGTTTTTCGTAACATTTGACGTAGTCTCCGAAGAATCCGTCACAATTTCCTCAGGCACATATAGACCCGTTCGGGAAGTACTTGCTGAATCTGGTTTATTGTTATGATCCCGCAACGAATTTGAAAGCGATGCGTTGTAGTTTTTATAGAATTTTTCCAATATAGTTTGTGGTACCGAAACTGGCTTTGTTATATTCGGTAGTTTTTTCAAATTTAAACGCATCAGAATGTGCATCTTAATTGATTCCAAACTATCCTGTTTGGCCTTCTCCCTTAATTGACGCTGCAGCACAGTATCCCCGCTTATCAAACTATTCCTGATCATGCTAAAGCCTTGCGTCCCCCCAGAAGAAAGCAGACCGGCTGGCATATCTAGTCCCTTGTTGGTTCGTCGGCTCTGAGCTTTGTTTGGAATAGTTGTGGTGCCGAGCGTTTGGTTAGCGCTTTCCGGCTCTGGCTCGGGATCGGGCTCTGATACGATGGTGTTTTCATTAGGAACGGTTGCGTCAGACGACGAACTCGACGACGAACTCAAAGGACTGCTTTCGTTCAGTGTAAGGGCATCACCTCTCGATGCTTTTTTATTGTTGTTTACCTCCTGGGCAGATGCCAAGAGAATGACCATCGAGAATAGAACTGTAGTCGCATATCGGGCGAGTAGGAAACGGTAACGCCAGCTCCTGGATTTCATCTCTATTCGTCTGGGATTACTGCAATGGCAGCACGCGTTATGGAAAGGTATTTTCGCAGATGAATTGGGGAAATCGGGGTCCGAAACAGAGTCATCGATGGACATTAAACGATCGATGGATGTCGAACAGCCATACAATTTGGCTAATTGATGAACTCTTCGATCTTTGGTTAACTTTGTAGCTGCTTCAAGCGAAGCCATAGTATTATTGTTTTTAGATGCAAATGGTGATGTATTCATACCTAACAAGAAAACAAAGAAAAGTGCGATACTTATGATGTGATATATGCAAGCTTATATATGTACACAACATATCTTCGGTAGCCTATAGCACATGATATTTGTTAACACACACAATCACATGCCAATCACATTCCGTACCTATAAATTGGAAAACATGGTATCCGAAAGTTATCCAATATATATTAAGGGGTGAGGATGTCATCTCTGACCCATACACAAACTATATACATATGTATATTTTCTTTTTGCCCTTTGCCTTTTGTCGGATGCGTGTCCGGTGCGTTGACCTTGAATCCAATAAGTACAAAATATATCTATTGTATATTGGCAAATAATATCGATATTCTCATCATAAATACCTTATAAGGGTTGGAGTTGGAGTTGGAATTTCAAAAATCGAGAAAATGCCATTTCTTAAGCCTTTATGTCGATTTTCGAAAGAGGTTTAGAACCGAACTTTTGATTCTTCATTCGATGGAAGTCATTTTTAAATATCTATGTATGTAAATTATAAAATTCTACGTGGAATTCAACAGGCGGAAAATGGTTGGGGAAAATTGATATCCGAAATTTTAGGCAAGGTAAGGCCGGGAAATATCAGCTATGTACATATGTGTTTATACTCACCAAATTCTTTAACAATCAGCAGCCACAATCACTTAACAGTTCCAATCTCAGCATATTCTATTATAGTTATTGTTACTGTCCACTTTAAGGTACTTACATATGTATGTATTTTATACATAGGCATGTGTGCATACATACATATGTATAACATGTATGCAAGTGTAACTGTCTCCGACTTTTCAGTCCTCAGTTTTTAAGACCAATGCATTGTTACGAGTAAGTATTCACAAACTTAACCATTCGAAACCATCAACCGTTATTAAACCGGCAAAAGACGACCCGACTTCTTTTATTTATTCCCGAATTTAATACGTTGTGCGATAATAATACGTATGTGTGTGTTGTGTAGCTACATATGTATGTACACACCAACATACATATGTATATGTAAATGTCGGCACTTTAGGGTATTTCTTTTTGTGCCTATGTCGTTGTTGTAGTTTTTAGCGCTTGTTTATTCTCTGAAATTGCAATTCTTTAATGTTTGCCGATGTGTTGGTGTACATGTGTATATGTAAATTAGTATATGCATATATGAATACGGTATACAGTATGTGCATGCATATGTATATGTATATATGCATTGCTACGTCTGAGTGTGCATGTTTGTGCTTGTTGTGTGGCGACTGTGTGCATAAACGATTCATATTTATGCGAATCTCACTCACAAGCTCTTGATGATCACTCTCACTCTATTGTATTCAATTAAAACCATTTATAAACATCATAATCAATTTTTGTGCTCTTGAACTTCAGTTCAGTGCTGAAAGTGCAGTATTCCTTTTGATGCATTCAGATTTGCATATACGCTTATATATATATAAATATGTATATATGTACATGTACATATATTTAAATTTATAAATGGTTTATACATAAGTATCCATACATTCATATTCATAAATATACAAGCGTTAATTTATATATGTATATATGTATGTATATGGACAAGTACATTCATAAACATGAATATATAAATTCATTACGTATCTCAAAACACACCCAGCATACAAATTTTGAGATAACAAACAATTGTATATATGCACGTATGTATGTACATACATACATATGTGCATGCATACATACACACATGCTAAATTGTATGTACGCGGATTCTATTTTGAACATTTTGCGATTCTCTACGTACATATGTATGTACGTGTGTACGTACATTTCTACCAAATACATATATATATATACATGTATATGCAAGCGCCTTTGTATATAAATATATCAATATATAAATGTTTGTATGTGTGTGTGTGTATATACACTCATATATTCACAAATAAATATTTGTATGTCTTCACATATACACTTGTAAGTATGTAAGCACATACATACATGTAATTAAAGTATTCACACATGTTTCAATTATTTCACTTGGTACAGATTTGGATTGCAACGCGCTGCTTTTTAGTTGGCTACCACACAAAAAAATAAACAGGGATCAGCACAGTGGCAGCAGCGAATACAGCGATATACAACAGAGCCTGACCGTGCCATATAACTAACTGACAGATCCGCATCCACATTCACATTTACAGACATAAACAAGAATCTGTTGCGCTGAGGATGAGTGTGCGCTACGTTCACGTTCGGTCAGGGTACCCGGTCCCATTTCAGAGTGTGGGTGGGCGGCGTAAGTGTTCGTTCTACTACACACTTCGTAGTTCACATGCGTTTTCATTTAATTGGAATATCGCACGATTAATCCAGCATTGTATTATTTTCCAAAAGTTTTGTGCGCTTTTAACTTATAAATATGATTGGCCTAATAAAAACACAAAGCAGCTTCGTGTGACGATCGCAGAAAGGACCCTGGTTCCGGCCCTGCTTCTTATACCCTGTACCTAGAACAATGCGTAAAGTGGATATAATGACACTGTAGCAAATATATGCGACAGACAAACATATGTATTTATCATCCATGTTAAAATCGATCTTTCAATCTTTCTTATCTTTATGTTTGTTTATTCCCAGTTTGAGTTTATTTATAATTTCTAATATCAACAGACACTATCAAAGTCGCACAATATATAATATACTTCAGTATAGGGAATCTTCAAGTCGACCTCGCTCTACTTAAGTGTTTTACTTGTTCTGATTGTTGTTGCTTGTCTCAAAATACGTCTTACGCGTTTGTTGCGACATTTGTCGAAGAGTATATTCTCTAACAAATCTTACTAAAATTCAAAAATATTATTTTGTCTTCTTCAAATAAATTATTTTCAGATGTCTGACCTGTTATAACGCATAAATAGATATATTGAATAAATGTTTCGAATCAATTCGAATCAAAAATTCAATTCAATGTAATCCAATTTTTCTCATTTTCTTATGTTTTCAGTAAACTGAAACACCAGGCTTATGAACAGAAACATTAACTTTATATAAAAAAAATATATTCAACCATTTTTATGCATAATGTCTAATATTTTGTTTTCTTATTGAGTTTAGTATATATTAAAGGGTAGAAGTACTTTGGATATCCAAGGGTTTTATTCCAAGTTTAATTGGGTTATTAAATCATGTTTATATTAATTAAATAAAGTTATAACTAGTACATACAAATGGTTAAGCATATGAACAATAATAATTAGCAAAGTAATATTAAGACAAAGCAAATCATTGAAAATATAATAATGTTTGGCACAATGCAAAACTTATTACAAAGTTATTGTACTCACATCCAAATAAAGAGAAAATCAATTGCTTACTTTTGGCCTCCTATTCATCATTTTGCTGAACGTTAGTTTTTCTTGATGTCCCAACTGGTTTTAACATTGTTCCTTATGAGAGAAAAAACTTGATTGAGTTTTTACGCTCAGAATTCAAAATGTCTTGCTTTTAATATTTTGTTTAAAAGGAAACTGAAAATGTATTATTGCGCACAATAATTTGTCACAGCCAAACTGTTTTAAATGTCAAATTGAAAAGAATACATAAAAAATATATAAATTCAGTACCAAAACTAAAGTGAATCTAAAGTGAATATAGATCTAAAGATTGATCCTAGGGAAAACTAATAATATTAAATTATAATTCGTTACTAATTTAATAAAGCTTTTGATTTTGTGCATTTACTTTTATTGAATATGATATGATAATTAAAAACAGTCATATGAATAAAAGTGGCATACAAGATATAAAATTAACTTTGATTTGAAAATGCGCTCCCGATTTTGATCACTGTACTCGCTCATCAAAACTTCGTTCAGTGAGTACATTTAGACGAGTTTCGATAAGTTAGTAGGTTTACTCACATAACGAAGAATAGCAAATTTAAGAACCGCACCACACACAATATGTTTTTCGTTAAATTCTTATGATTGAAAGAAGTAAAAACGTTTGGGTCGGGTGCAGCCGATCATGTGTTATGGCAGCTGATAACAAAACAGTTTATTTCGCGGCGCCGAAGTTTTAATACCCTCTTAGGATTACATATATGAGATTTGTGATTAATTTTACATGTCCATCAATTCATATGAGGGCGCAACTAGAAGACTAAAAGAATACACACATATAACCAAAATATTGTATGCAAAAAAGCCTGAATAGGATATATATTAATATTTATATCTTAATTTTTATTTAAACATGCTATAAAATATTGTACATACTTTCGTTAGCACACATTTTAACAGTTTCTAATATACTGTCACAAATCTGGCTCTTTTATATAACCAAAGATACACGAATGCCGCATAAGGCAACACCGTTTAAAAATAAATAAATTTAAAAAAAATAGATATTTATTTACGTTACAACAATAAAGAGTAAACACACACGTGCACATATACACGCCTATGTTAATGTTTGGACTTGTGGAAATGGGCAAATGTGGTTACCGAGTCTTTACCACAGAGTTTGCCTGCGTTTGTGCATGCTTATCAGTGTGTGCGTGTGTGTGTGTCTGTGTGTTGATTTGCCCTTTTGGTTGGGTACCGTTTGTTGTTGTGAACTTGTGGGTGCGATTTTGGTTTGTGGCTTGTCAATAACTAAAACGGGTAAATGGAGAAGGGAATGTATCTCTAATGTCGCGAGCTACGTATAACGGAATGACTAGAAGCAAAAAGGGGAATAAAGTAAAAGAGAAACAGAGAGATGAAGGTGTATATAGAGTTGGATAAAGTTCGATAGATTGACACTGCAATATAATACTTAAGTATTATATTATTTTATATTATATTATATATATAACTATAAAAGAGTTGGCATTTGGTATGAATGAAGCGGGCTTACGCGCATTCATCAATGCTTACATACATACATGTATCATATATACACACACATACACACCACTGCTACACATATAATGCCACAATGGACTGATACGGACGAAGTTATAGTTCTGGTAAGGCCAATACAGCCTGAGGATCGGATGGAGTCCATAAATAAGCATGAAGCCTATGCTGCTCCTTTCAGCAAGTGCATGAAGTACCATCGCTTCCCCGTTAGATTGATGGAAATTTCATAGGCTGTTGCTGATCCCAAAATGCGACAAGCCACCCGACGACCCGTCCGCATTACGTGTTATATGTATGGTCCATGTCGGGCGAAAACTATTGAACATATAATCGGTTCAAATTGTTGAAAGAACTAGAAGAACGGCAAGGGCTATCTGAACGCCAGTTCGGCTTCCGGAAAAACCGCAGGACAATATATATCGTTGACCATATGATGGACATGACCACACGACCTATCGATGACCCAATGGCAGCTTGGGTCAAAAGGAATCTGCCTTGAAGAATGCTCTCAACTCAAAAAACTGGGCAACTGTGGCAGAATTGCGCACTTCGGATATAGCTGTATCTGATAAACGGCTATTTCGATTCTCTGTCAGTAGGATACCTTTGCAGGTGAGGTGACAATTTTAAAAGCACAATGAGGAGTGAATTTTGAAGAAAATAAAACCCTTAGAGAACATTTTCACAAAGATATTTGAAATTAAGTTTGAGGGCAATCGGACAAAACATTGCACAAAAAATCATTTATCCGCAATAATGTAAAAGTTCAGTTTAAGGTCCGACTGGGAATTTCGGGAGACTTTCGGTTTTTTGACCTATACAAAGTGTAAATATTTGCTGATTCGTGTGTAGCTGTGTATTCGTAAAGTTAAGCATTAATTAAGACCACTTTGTATATCGATGTTCGTCTAACAATGGTTAAGTTCAAGGGTCTTTCAGTGCACGGAGGCTAACCCCACAGAGAGCTATTGAGAATATGCACACTTACATATGTATGTAGTACGATGTATATACAGGTATATACCATACACGATATGTACATATATGTCAACGTGTACATGGATGGAAGTAAAAAACTAAAACTTGCTTTGAGAAAGCCCTGGCCCAGCTTCTGCTTATTGTTATTTGTTTTTTTATGCGATATACTGTTTTGAGCAGATCGAACATTTAGATCTCTGCCTGTAAACAGGGCACAGGACCAGGCACAGACC